CCATTCGCGAGATATGTCCAAACCGCCTAAGTTGGTTTTCTTGGATTATCCCCTCTGCAGGCCTCAGGTCTAGATTACCACGTATGGTCACATTCCTAACGCGATCTCTTCTTGTTTTCCCCTCTATTTTCCTTAGATAGCGCATTTACATAGCTTGGATTTGGCTTTTGTGCTTGGCAGTGAGGGTCCAAGACTCGCATGCATACGTCAATATAGGGAGGAAAGTATTCTTAAAGACAATTTTCTTAGTGTTCTTTGAGACTTCCTTGAGCCGACAACATTATTAACAAAATATAAACAATAAGAAGAGAAATGATATAAATGATAATAATATCTGAAATTCTTAGAAAATATATAATAATATAACATTACATAACCTTCTAACTGGATATTTCCTTATAAATATTACACAGTCGTTGGATACAACTACTTAATATCACTAATTTAAATAAGTAAATTATAAATCATTAAGGACATTTTTAGATTGACTTTGATTTGATGTCTATATTTTATGCAATACAACTTTGTTATTAACTTAAAAAATATTCTTATTAAACTTATTAACCCTAACTACAATACACCTAGAATGCATGGATTAATACAGTTACATAAAAGTGGCGCTCCACTTAGTCCTGCCATCTGTAATATCAATGAGGAAACTGAAAAAATTGGTTAAATATCATAACTCCACACCCAATAATCTAAAATCAGATAGTAATAATGATGTAAAAAAACTCAATGGAGGTATTTGATCCACATAATTGAAAAATACAGGAATACAATTGAAGCGCATACCCAAATTAAAGGGCTTTATGGAAGATATGGATTAATATATCTCAGAAGCTAAAAATCGGACCTGCATAATGTAAGCAAATGATATGTTCAGCAATTGACCCTCTTTATAATGAGCTATTTATAATTTATATATTTCATATTCATACCAGACTGAAACGACAAGAAACCGCTCTAAAATTCCAATTAATTACAAAAGACTCATATACATGACTATAATAAGGACTATTTGGACTTACGGAGTTGAGCTATGGGGCTCCACTAAACCATCGAATTCCTCTCGTATCCAATCCTTAAAATTCTCTAATAATGACCTTATTGTTTCAGATCTTGATAAACTTCAGACTCATCCCAACCCTCTCGTTTCGAACCTTTCTTCCTCTTCAATTCCTGATAACCCTCCGAGGCGTCTGAAAAGAAGATAGCCTCGTGAACTCCTAATGTAGACATATTATTAGAGTACTACCATTGGGCAGTTTCTCAACAAGTGTTTTCACGTCATTCCAATGTTCCAAATGTTCAAATTTACTAAATGTATTTCTTTACTACAATTGTAAGTATCATAAAGAAAATAAAATTCATATTGAATACTTAATAGTTGTATTATTAAGGAAGGAGATGGTCCGGGGTGGCGGTCATAAATAGACTAAATAGTGGCAAAACTATTTTATTAAAAGCCAACGTTTCGACCCTACTTTGCAGGTCTTCTTCAGGGAGTTGTGTTCAGCATGGAGTTTCAATTAGAACTCTTCAGTTCTAAGTTAAACTAAGTGAAACTGCTTGCTGAACACAACTCCCTGAAGAAGACCTGCAAAGTAGGGTCGAAACGTTGGCTTTTAATAAAATAGTTTTACCACTATTTATCACGATAGATAAATAGTGGCTCATAAATAGTGGCTGTATTTATGACAGCCACCCGGACCATCTCCTTCCTTAAAAATAGTTCATATTATTAATCTCGCCTCGTTGCTGTTTTCACGTCTATCGTGTGGTCTAAAGCAGACACCTTAGTTTTTTTGTTGGACATTTTGTTTAGAATCAACCACCTGAGTTTGGCCATTAACAAATGAGACACGCTTCATAAAGATTTGTGTCTGTTATGAATTTGAATTCATCAAAAAAATTCGAACATGTTGAAAGTTTTGAAGTTTTGAGATCTAGCAATTTATTTTCTTATAAATTATAAGCACAACAATCTCCAAATATTTTTGTCGTTGAATGTTATTGATTATAAAGCAGTATCTCCTCTAGGAAGGACCCTTTTCAGATATATTGTGTGAGGAAGGCCAGTTCACAAGCAGCCTTCGGTCAGGTTAGTAGTGCTGTATATCTCTACTCTATGTAATTATTTACACCTTATACCACCCTCTTCTTTTGTTATTCTACTTATATATCATTAATATCTTGGTTATTTAATTTCATCTGAAATAAAAAAATTAAATTGATTATTAAATAATTATTGATCGAATATAGAACTAATAATCTTTGCATATCAATTACTGAGAACTTCATCTGCCATAAGTATTTATGATAACTATTGTCTGCCCAGTGCTCGAAATTCGATTATAATCCTTATCGAAAATTTATGGAAAAAGATAAATTAATTTGAATGTTTCCAACATTTTTTTCTACTCTTATATATTACGCACATACACTTTCATATGTACTTACAATACAAAACAGTCCAACAAGATCTGTGTACTTTTTGAATTATTCGCCAATAAAATTCAGAAGCCATCGTTTGGTCGGTACAAATTCTTTTATTTCAGCACTGTACTCATACTATGGCAATCGGTCATATATAAATTTGTCATAATACAGTTCTCAAAAATAAAAAGCAATATAAAAAATTGCAATAAAAATATCTTATTGGATATTATTATTTGTGATTTCTATAATTTTTTTTATTTTATTTTGTAGGGAATCCAGAACGCTTTCAAATATTCATAGGTCTAATGAACCCTAAATTGTTTACTTTTTGAGAGGATGAAATGGTGAACAATGCCGCTGTTTAAAATTTCAGGTCCAATTTTTAGTTTCCATACCTTCAATAAACTCGTTATCATTTGGTTTTCGACACTATTTTTTCCTTTTCACCTCCCTAATACGGCGTCGTGTTAAGATAAAATTTTGAATAATACAGAGCCTCATTACAAAGAGGGCGAAATGATGAAAATTTCTTTCATTAACAATATGGAGATTCGATTTTTATTTTTTGAGGTATTTCAATCCATAACCAAAATACTTCAATCAATTGACTCCAGCCGACTTAACCCAAGCGTTACACATCGGAAATATGACGACTCAATTTAATTCACTCTCCAAAAAAAAAAAAGAGAAAGACGCGCCTAAAGACATTTTCACTTTTAAAAATTGGCTTTATAGCTATACGGTGCAAGAAATATTAATTTTTGTTAAATAATTTCTATTGGAATTTCTAAAATTCGTTGTCGTCTTATAAATTCTAATATTTTTAATAATATATCCCTTTTACGTAGACTCCTAGTTCCATGTTTCACCTTTACAACATCACGTGCCGAGGTAAATGCGAGTACTATAATTTATAGTATTTTAGCGACCAGTAAATTTTTTCGAAAAGAAAAACACTCGAGAATTTATAAATTAATTAATAGATCTGAAATAAGTATAGAAAAGGGTATCTCTCCTGTGTATATTTCACAACTACACTACGAATCATTCAAGACCTATGGATTACGTCTGTTCAGTGTCAACTTCTGTTTCCGTCTCTGTTAAGGCATTCTATTGTAGTGTAGAGATTTTCTTAATGGGGGCCATCCATTAGAAAAGTATCTACACGCTGCATATCCCGCCTACCTTAACCTCATCGCCTTTATATTATGAGATGTTAATTTACTAGTTTCTGTAAGCAGTTCTTTGTCTATCTTCCATGAGTTAATCTAAACCCAGATCGCTCAGGCTATTGAGTGGAGTATTATTCTCTCAAATCTGTCAATACTTCTTTCTAGAGCGCTGTTTATTGTCCAGTTCTCGCAGCCATATATCAGCACTGCCTTTATTGCATTGTACTCCCTTAATTTGAGATATATATAGAAATATTTCGTTATTTATGACCATTGCAACGCGTTACCATTTATTGAGGTTCGTGTAGAGCCGAGTTCCATTGGGCCACTCTAAGAATACGAAATTCTACCGGAGAATGTCAAAATCGAGTAGGCACTGCCAGAACACTTTACAGCTGATTTTTGTGCATCTGATTCCGGTTTTTTATAATATTGATAAGAGTGTTTTAGAGTTGTGAAAGTATTTTTTCTTTACTTGATATAATAATTTTTAATAAAAAAAAGTGCATAAACATGCTCAAAATTAAAATCGATTGATGTATATCACTAGCGGATTCAGGATTTAATTTTTGGGGGGAGGGCTTCAACCCAGAAGCTTTTTTTTACATATATATATATATATATATACAAAACGATAATTACTTCAGAAAAAACAGAAAGATCTACCTACCTACAGAAAGAACTACCTATATGAAATGGTGTTTAAATGATTCTTGAAGTCCTATTAAATGTAATTAAACGAGCAATAATACTTTAAGATATAATTTTTTTATATTTTTTACCATAAAATATGGTTACATTTTACCATTTTGGGGGGGTACCCTCCGTAGATCAGCTCGTGAGATTTTGCTAAACAAATTTAAAAAAGTAAAATAATATCATTGCTCCTTGGGCCACTGTTTTATAATGCACCTTAGGCCGGCCCAAGATAAATTAATATAATTTCAAAATATGTCTCTTGTGAGAATAAATAATTTGTTCATGGTGTTTACTGAAGAAGTTTATAAAAGGTTATTTATTGACTGCAAGTGTAATATAAGTATATATATATATATACATTAAATAATAATTATAATTTCTATTACAACAAATATTGCCCTAGATAAAATTTATAGCCCAAGGTATAAGTAGTTGCCCTAGGCACAACTATAGTAATTATACCTTATTATTTTTAAAAATGATCTGTTTCATAGTAAAAATCTGGTATCAAAATAATTTAAAAATTAACATAGTATTTTCAAAGTATGGCAAATAGAACTATATTTTGAACTTTTTAAAATTATCATTATTATTTTAGAAGCTATGGAGCATTGAAAAGAAGTGACCCAATAATATCCCCCCTATAATATGCCGAACATTTTTTTGTTTTTAATCAGGTTTTCCACGATGCTGAACAACCGACTGTTTCTAATTCTGCGACGACAATACTCTAAGAATGCCATCTCCTCCTTGGTTCAAATACAACTCCCTAAGATACCTATCGACCAATTCGTCATGGAGAAGTGGGACAAATGGGAAGATAAGGTTGCCATTGTAAGTAACAATATCAGAATAATTGAAGAAAAATATATTAAGTATTTATTAGATAACACATTTTTTTTTTATCCTTGTTTATTTTAGAAATATTAGAATCTATCTCAAAGAACATTTATAATTCAGAGAGCACATTCATACTCTATGTACAATAAATAAAAATAAATTAAACAGCAACATAACATAACTAAAACTAAATGGACATAAACACAAGATAAAAACTAATCAAAATAACAACTTAAATATAAACATTCTATAAGGTAATATTAGACTGTTTTATATTCTTTGAAGATCAGAATTTTTCAATAATGTCTCTCTATAATTTATAGTATTTTATTTCATATCTTATACCAAGAGAAGCTTCACATCAGAAATAATTAAAATTATCGGTGTTTGTCTGCAATTATAACGTTAACATGGGTGAGTTTTGTTATATATTGTTTTATTATGGAATAGGGTATCAATAAAATAGTTGAACAAAAATAACCTAGTATTTAGCAGTTCATTTTTCTCTTGAGTTAAAGATAAGTCATTTTTTTTTTATTATTGAAATTTACAACTGTATTAAATGCTAAATACGACAAGTTACATGAAGAGAAACTGCCCATTGGTAGTTAGCACTCCAATTATATTTCTATATTAGAAGATTCCGAGGCCATCTTCTTTTCAGGCACCTCAGAGGGTTTTCATTAATAGAAGACGAAGCAAGATTGGAAACAAGAGGGTCCGGATGGCTCAGAAGTTTATTATGGAAGGATAGGTATCTGGATTGAGCTAAATCGGAAACATATGGTACATTAAGGTCGTTATGGATGATTTTATTTGTGGCCAAGTAAGAAACATTGAGGATTTTACGAAAGGATTTTGGATTGGATACGAGAGGAATTTGATGGTTTAGTAGAGCCCCAAAGCTCGTTTTTACTCTTCCTACCTATACTAGGAAAGGTAAGGAAAGTATTACAGTCGGGTCAAATTTTTCGACAAGCGGTTTTCAACGGATTTATAAGCCTTGAGTCCCTGTCGTTTGAAAGGTAATGAAATTCCCTACAAGACCATATAAAAATCGTTCATTTTGGACAACTATCAACGAAGTTACAGCTATTCAATTTCCAATGTAAGATTACGGTTTCATATCCTGGTGTCAGAAAGGGGTGAATGAGAGAATAAACTAGCTAAGTGAAAGTAAGAAAATCTGTTGCCCGCATCACACAATATTCACTATTTCCTTTACTTTTAACAGAAATTTCCTTAAATTACCTTTAAGCCAGTACTCAAATCTTATATTTGATCAATTTTTCTAGTTCAATTCTTTTTTGTTTCATCTTTAACATATGTAAAGACATAAAAACTTTTCTGAAATAGGTAGGAAAGTCGTGTGAGTGGACACACCAGATTTTTTAAACCTAAATTTTATTTGATTAATTTTATTTACAACGAATCTCCGAGGCTTCTGAAATTTTTTTTTTACAATTGTTTTATTACTGTTATCCGATTGAAATTTTACTCTAAATGTATACACATCTTTTAATCGGATTAAGTCCTAATCATTTTGAACGCTCTTCTTTTGTTTAGGATTAAAAGTCTCGAATAAAAATATAGACGTTCTTTACCGTATGGATTATCGACTGACTAATGCCTAATTAATCTAAATTAATAAAATGTATTGACAAGTACATTATCGTCAGTAAAAATATTTAAGCAACAAAAAACTATCATTTTTAAAATAAAATAAATGATGAATTAATGGAAGAGAAGGATGGTTGGGATGATCAGTCAAAATAAAAAATAGCAAAAATAAATAATAATATTTATTTTTACATTTGCCGACGTTTCGGCCCGAAGTTCAGCTCTGATAAAGGCCTGAACTTCGGGCCGAAACTACCGCAAATGTAAAAATAAATGTTATTATTTATTTTTGCTATTTTTTATTTTGACTGATCCCGCCAAACATTCTTCTCTTCAATTATTCACTACAGTCAATCATCAACCCACAATGATGAATTAATTGTTGGAGATAAAGTAAAATTAGCTAAATGTAAAACTTTTTGTTACTTGAAAAATGCACTCTCAATCTTATATATGTTGTTTATCACTTGAATTATTTTGCGTCTGAAATTGGTGTATTTTTTCTGCATTCAAGTACTCTACTGACCTTCGCTCAATAGGTAACCTTGATATAAATTTTTTATCGCCGTATTTCATGACAAATGATACACACTTTAATTTGCAAAATCTTTTTTTATTTTCTTATCTTACTTGGTGATTTAACTGTAGTCCATGCATATATCTGCAAATATTATCTGAAAAATCGATGCCATACCTTTGAGTCTTTAAAAAAAACTTCACACAAGAAAACGAAATATTCATATTTGTAATCGATGAAAATAATGTGTCATTAGTAAACTAAATATGTAATTAAAATTAAGTTTCCTAATATAAAGTCGTAAAGGATAATGCAGGATGACGAAAAAAATATTAATTTAACTCATTAGATGAGTTTTTTATCAAAAATAGTTTGTTCCATATATATATTTTTTTTCTTTCACTTACCTACAAATGGAAGTATTTTCTTCTATTCAAAGTAGGATTAGTGGATGCTGTATGATGCACAAGTCGTACCAGATTTTTTCATTAATATAATTTCATAAATATCTAATCGGTAGTAGAAAAAATAAAGATAATATTAGTTGCACATTCATGATCTTTAGAAATCAGCTGTGAACAATTTAAAGAAAAGAATTCGGTAGGTTTTGTATAGCAGCATAACCAGCTAAAAAAAGAAGCAATTTTTAATATTCAAATACTAACTATCAACCTTTACCGATTATATTTTTAATTTGGGGGAGGAGGGAGGTTATGAGAACTTTTTTTGTTTTTTACATAAAACTAAGGCTATAGCCTTGGTTCAATTGTGAAAAAAAAAGTTTTATTTCTTGACGTTCTAAATAAATAAAAATCTGAACTCTGTTTCTTAATAAAAATATGTCTGAGATATTTTCAAATAAAAATTCTTTTCTCTCTGTCATAACATTTTCCAATGAACTTATGACTATAGGTTTTCATGTCTCCATCAAATACCCTTTCATTTGATACCTCATTCGTAAAAATCGGTTGTTATAAATTTTGTTATGATTTTACAAAAAACTAAGGCTCAATTGGTTCAATTGTGAAGAAAAATAGTTTTATTTTTCGATTACTATGAAAATTCGTATTTGAGGATTCTTAGACGCTCTAAATACAAATCTCAACTCAGTTTCTCTATAAAAAAAATGTCTTGTTCAGCTGCTTATGGCTATGAATTATACGTCTCAATTTATATATTAATTGATACCTGATTATAATGCCTCAAAACATGTTAAGGAAATCACTTCAACTCTACAAAATCATCTTTTATTTTTCCTATCCTTCCTCGCATTTTTCAGCTATACGGTGTTTTACCATGCCAGAGGAGGAGGTGGAGAATTAAGGTCAAAGTTAAAAGTCCTCCGCCTCCTCAGCAAAATAATCTTGTAAATAACATGTTAAATGTTTAATTTTAAATGATGCGTTTTGGCGGGAATTTGCGAATAGCTTTCCGCTTTTATATCGGGGAACTAGGTTATTTACACTCGTGATTATTAAAAAAAAAACCTGACACAGGATATAGACTTTTTGTGGGTGTTTAACTGTCCTTGGGAATTCGGGAATCTAATACTTTTTGTGACACTGAGTGAGAAGAAACATAAGAATATATATATATGAAATGTGGGACTTAGTAAATACACTTTGAATGATTGACTCACCTTGTTTATTATTCTTCAACTGTGTGACATATAGGACAACTAAATAAAAGGACTATTCACTCGTGTCTAACAAAAGAATTTATTTTGACAACTGTAATAAGTGAATATATTAAAGTCTTATAACTGTAGGCTTGATATACTTAGTCTTCAATGTAGTAGGCCTCCTGAACCTCTTCTGACAACCTCCTTTCTTCCGGTCCCAGCCTTCGTCCTCTTGCCTCCATGTCTCAGCCTCAAGTGTCTTCTCCTCTCCCTGGCGTCATTCTGCAGCTGCTGCTACCTGACCGGACCTTTTTCCTTCTTCATCGATAGTTCATCAATATGAGACTTTTCAATGAACAATTTGTCCACTGCACAATTGAGTACAATTCACAGTGCAACCTCACATTCCTATATATTCCTTCTCATTCTCTCACCCAATGTCACACAAAGGATTAAATACCGGGAGGATGTCTACTACAATCTATTAACGGTAGTTTTACTAGGTATATATACAGGCTTAAAACATTTCCTACTCTCGCTGCGATGCCGTAAGGAAAGCGGCACCCGTAGACTTTGCTATATCTGCTACATGGCTGGTTTAATTCTGCTTATTCTCTTGTTATTTTCGTTAAAACCGTTTAACCTTGCTAATCCAAAACGAACGTGACAGGAGTGCGGATCGTCCGGGAAGAGGATCACCTACAAGGAGTTGAGGCACCGTACTAAGTCCTTAGGGGTGGCCCTCGCGCAGCTGGGGTTCAAGAAGAAGACGGCTCTCCTGGCGATGCCCAACTGCCCGGAGTTTCCCCTCGCCCTCCTCGGTGCCCTCCAAGCTGGGATGACCATATCCACTGCAAATCCGTTCAGCGCTACGGGTAAGTGGAACTTATTTTCTATTCAAGGTAAGCTAAATAGCCTCTTCATACAAGACAACTTATCAATAGATAGATATATTTTAAGTGGCGATATGTGCATAAATATCCATACATTTAAAATAGCAAATATAAAGAAAATAATAAATATCTTACAGATAAACTCGAATTCTTCATTGCGGATGCAGATGTCAATTGTGTTTTGACCACTCCTGAGTACTTGGACAACATACAGCACGCAGTAAAGGGGTCAAAGATTGCTGTTATGTGTACGGGAACTACTATACAAGAAGGTGTCATTTCTTTTGAACAGGTAATTTTTTATGAAAAAATAAATATCATATATCAGCTTTAGGTTAAGGGGAGAATAAACCGGTAATGTCTGAGCGTCTTAGAGCGTTCCCTGCTTTATCATTCTTGAGTCTAGCGGCCATGGCTCTAATCCGGCCTGGGTGGGTTGAAATTTATTTAAATATAAAAGTAAATTAAAAATATCCCCTCTTCCTTCAGCATGCTATAAATGGTCAGATAGAGCTAAGGAAAAAGTTACAGGAGAGGTATGTTTCGTACTCCTCGAATATTAACGGATCCAGGATTTAATATATATATATAAATTTCGACCTTATTTATCCATGATAAAACATCTTAAGTACATGTTAATGACATGGTATATGTCATTTACATGTACTTACGATGTTTTTTCATGGATAAATAAGGTCGAAATTCACAAAAACATTGGAATAACTTTAGAACGGCTTCACCGATCCGCGCCAAAATTATTAAGGGCTTGGAACTGTTATCCTATACAAAATCGACTTCCATAAACAAATCAAACCCGCAGATATGAAATAAAAATGAGTGAAAAGTTTTTCATGATTTCTAGTTTAAAAAATAATGTAATCTAAAAGTTATCGTTGTTGGTTAGAGGAACGTTGTACAAAAGTTAAATTTTGAGAAAATTCTGAGAAGTTATGAATGTTTTAGTTATCGAATGGAAAATAAATCCTCTAAAAAAATCAATTATTAAGTTTTGAAATTTTCGACTTCTATCAAAATTCGTATTTAAGAGTTGCAAAAGACACTAGAAACGAATCTAACTTGCTTCTTCACAACAAATATCTATTTGGCCTCCTTTACTGAAAGCACCTTTCAGTTTTTGTAATTTATGATATATTATAACTCATTTAATACTGTAGTTAATGTGTTTTCTTATTTTGCACAGAAAAAGAAATCGATTGATATATAATAAGCTAAAAATCCGGGAAAAACAAAATCAACAATAAATAACATAAATTTTGGTTGGAATTATATTTTTTTCTCGGTTCCTGACGCACACTTGAACAAACGCCGGGCTAAGGACAAAAAATTCGCTAAAATCGGTGAACAATTGACTTTTAAAGTCTCTGTTAGAGACTTTTTGCAATAAACGGGCGATATCTTCATAAAATTGAAATTTAGAGTGATTCAAGACATGTTGATAAAAAAATAGTTGAAACGAACGATAAATACTTTAACCTGACTGAATATCTATGGTATCTCTCTCTCTCTTTTTGACCAACAGCTGAGCAACATCCCCGATCCTTATGAAGAACTGCTGCCAACCTCAGAAGAGAAGATGAATCAGTTGGCCCTCCTTCCTTACTCCAGAGGAACAACGGGCCAAGCCAAAGGGGTACGCCTTCATCACGGCAACATCACCGCCAACCTCCAGCAAATATCTCATCCTGAAGTCAACGTCCTCTTAGAAACCACCGGTAAGCAGTAGCTTTATAAATAAGTTGACAAGATTGGCATGAATTTTCTATTTTTTTATGCATTTATAAACATTAAGTTGTAACAATAAAGATGAAAAAATCCCGATTTTTTTCTTATGGGCATTTGGAAATGTAATTAACGATAAAGAAAAGTGGTGGGAACATAGCCACATCAGGAGACTCGAGACACGGCTACATCACTGTCAGCGCCTAGCTCATACCTTGGATCATCTTATACATATTAGCTTTCACTAGTATTTCAATCTTAAAAGTTCCATGAAATATCTTTCTTTTTTTATTTCTTACCAAGAAGCAGGATTGACCATTTCCCACCCAAAGGATGATAGTACATTCCTCTCAAGAAATTTTATTGATCTGCTCTTCTTATACGTACAAGCAAAAGTAGACTTTGTAAAATTGTAGATGGAATATTATTATACTTGCTATGTCTGTTCTATGTTTTCTCCTTTTCCAAGCTTTGGAAGCACTGGATATTTAAACACACAAGAATATAGTTCTTTCTAAAAATATATAACCTCAATAACTCTTAAATCTGCGCTTGTTGAATTAAGTATAGCCGCTGTCATAGAAATTGCATTACCTTGATTTCGTTGAATGTTTTTGTTTTTCTTTACTTATTTAGGGTATACGAAAACTTTAACAATGTTTCTCAATTCAGTTTTAACTAATGTCAGAATAAAAGCCGTAAATATGACCTGTTTCAAAAACTGTTCTCGTGAACAAATATTAAAATTTGGACGTTACATGAAGTAAACGAATTTTCTAGAGAATTAGGTATGGTACAAACAATCAAAGGTAGTCATAGCTATGAAAAAAAAAAAAAAAAGTTACCTTGGAGCCAAAGATAGAAACTGAGAGGAGAAAAAACAAACTAACAATTTAATCACTTAATGAATGAATGAATGAAAACATAATTTTATTCTGGGACTACAGTACCCTAAAAATAATAACAGATTTTCAAAATTTATGGGTATTAGCCTGGTTATGGGTATTTGGTTCTGAGGACTTGGAAAAAGAAACCACCAAGGAGGAATTGTCGTCGGGAAGTAGGATAAAGGCGCTTCAACTCGGTGTACCAGAATGAAACATGAGAACGCCTGGGGATCTCGAAGATGTATCTTATGAAAATGTTCATGGGTTTCTTCAGTCTCATTTCTAGCCTGGCAGATAGCTCTCCATACACCGAATAGCCGTAGTTGAAGCAGGAGAATATAAGGGAGGTTATATTCTCAGCTCCTTAGCTGTCGGTGTTTTAGAGGGATACAATCACGGAATCTTAGGGTTTGTTTAAGGACAGTTATGGATTTTCGGTTAATCTGGGAGATATGGTTATTCTAGGAAAGGTTCTGGTCAAAGGTCTTAGGTTTTTGGTTGTAGAGAAAAATTAGATGGAGCGGTTATTGAGGTTGAGTAGAGGAAAGTAAAGAAGGGAGCTAATGAGATGTCTGGACCCGATGAGAATAGCCTTAGTAGCGATTGTTTTAGAATATCGTTTCAAAACTGGCAAAGAAATATCCGGAGATCTTGCAGGTAGCATTATGGTAAAAAAAATTAAAATTTAATAAAGATTTACTGAGTGATGCAGTTTCTATGACCGCGACTGTAGTTTCATTTAACGAGTGCAATTTATTTTTTATGTTTATGTGGGTTCGATTCGGCCAATCAGCTGATTAATCATCATAACAACAGAATAAACAACTGTTATTTAATCGACCTCCACTGACTAGGACCAAGTTTACGATTTCCTTATCTCTCTAACTTGCGGATGTCGACAACTGTGATTTACCTCAAACTATAAATATATCAGTGATTAGTTACAAGAACTATCACAGTGTCAGTTTTCGCTTTATGACAACTCTACTTACGTAAATCACAGAAAAAATGTTGTCTATGTTATTACTGTCCTCATTAGTAAATTACTTTTCAGTTTTTAGCTGAACTAAAAATATCAAAATAAATGTATTTAACATTCTTAGAAACGTATCCCACATTTTAAAGATAATAACAACAATCTATTGTTTCAAGTACCTTACATATATTATTTATTACATATATTATTTCCTTTTGTTATTTATGATATTTACAACTATATTAAAAATAAAAATACACCGAGTGAATGTGAACACAGGAATGTAATAACATAAAAACACTTGTTGAGAAATTACCCACTGATAGCACTCTAAAAATATACTTACATTAGGAGATCACGAGGCCATCTTCTTCAAGGTTAAAGTTAAGTTAAAGGAAAAATAGGTATCTGGATTGGGCCATGTCAAAAACATAGAACATTAAGGTCTTTATGGATGATTTTATTTGTGGCAATGTAAGGATAATTAAGGATTTTACGAAGTATTTTGGATTGTAAGGTTATGATACGAGTGGAATTTAATGGTTTAGTGGAGCCCAAAGCTCAACTTCGCAAGTCAAAATAGACCAAAACAGGGTTTGTCTGTTGGGCAAGAAGTCATAAGTTTCTTATGTAAGTTAAAACTATCAGATCTTTCAAGGCTTTTGTTGCGAAGTGAATAAAAATAAGTTTCAAGAGTTTAGTTTTTGTGTACTAAAACGATTAAATTTTAATTTTTCAGATAAACATCAAGATGTAGTCCCAGCTGTGCTTCCATTTTCCAACATCTATGGGATCACAGTCCTGGTCTTGAGGTCTCTCAAAATGGGCGCTAAGATCCTAAGCCTGCCCAAGTTTCGTTCTGAGAACTTCTTGTGTATGCTTGCCAGCAATAAGGTAAGCCGCAGATCTTGGTATTAATTTTAGAAAATATATTAAATAAAAAATATTATTTACTATTATAATCATTTCCATATATTAAAATAGGCTTGTACCTTCTTGTATTTCACTTTACGCAGGAACAAGTTTGTGTTGTAGTATTCTGGAGTCTGCTAGACTATAACTGTTGCATATTGGTACCAATCTAGCTAGTCGATAGATTTTATATTATTTAATGTAATTTATGTGTAGGAGATACGGTGGTTGTTTACTTTATTATGCCAATTCCTTCCAAGACTGTCAGGGATATTGTCATAATAATTCTGCTTTAAGAGCTGGTGATAATTTATTGCTGTGGACTGTAAAATTAGAGAAGTTAATGGATTAAAGAAGTGAATATGTAAAATTGATTGCTTTATTTTATTACATGTAGTTTTATACGGAGGTTAAATATAGGTGGGTTGGGATACTTGCATTTTCTCTTTTCTTCTAGTTGCCAGTCTTCTTGTTCATCTTCTCTCTCTTCCTTTCTTGGCCCCTTGCCGGCCGCTGTAGGTTTTTTACTCCATGTTTAGTAAATCAGTAGAATTACAAATTTTTCAACTGGCCAGTCTAGTCAATCTCTCACGGTACGTGAGCGTCTACGCTTCAACAATGGCGGCGTCACACTAAGAACTGAGATATATATGCAGTATAACAGCTGTGTTGTGCTTACTTGATTTAATTCAAATATGAAGTTTGATGTGTTCCCTAAACAAGGGTATTGCAGGAAGCGTTACACCTAGATCATTATCATATTTAGACCAAATTGCTACCAAACACAAATATAATTCTCTGCCTGTTTACAACAAAAATTGTTTTCTACCTGTCTCGTCATGTCGTGTACGTCCCATGTTGGGCAGTATTCGGTGCCAGGAGTATACATCGTGATACGTCTCATAGAAACCTCCTTCTCGGTGTCACGGGCTGAAAATTACATCTGATATTATCTTACTGTATTTCCAAATATCTAGACCAAAATATTTTTTTAAAGTGTTTATGATTTATAACTTTAAAGATTTCTCCAGTTTGGAGTGAATGTCTGCTTATCGACTACAGACCTCCAATTATTGTAATTGCAGACACTTGTTGGACTAATATCAATAGACTAAACAATACAATACATCACCAATAGTTATTACACTTCGGGTCGTAATTACCAATATAATCTTAAACCTTTTAATGAAGAGAAGAATAGTTGGGGTGATCAGTCAAATAAGAAGGCAGGCCATCATCAGGGCTAAGAAAAGAACCAGAAAACAAGAGGTATGAGAAACATAAAAATTAAAGTAAAATGCAGGTGTTAGAATAATGACAATAGTAAGAACAAGAGATAAATAATAATAACCGGTACAAAGTGCGGAATAATGAAGTAAACATAATCAAAAAGGTGACATGAGTATCCCATTTCAATACTTATGTCACCTTTTTGATTATGTTTACTTCATCATTCCACACTTTGTACCGGTTATTATTATTTATCTCTTGTTCTTACAATTGTCATTAGTCTAACAACGGCATTTTACTTTAATTTTTATGTTTCTCATACCTTGTTATCTGGTTCTTTTTTAGCCCTGATGATGGCCTGAACTTCAGGTCGAAACGTCGGCAAATGATAAAATAAATATTATCATTTATTTTGCCTTCTTATTTGACTGATCACCCAAACTATTCTTCTCTTCATTATTCACGAAAGTCAACTATTTAACCACTATTTTAAACCCTTTAAGTTTGTAACATGTAATAATCGTCCATACACATGTGTAATCATAGTGTGAGTATATTTATATACATTGAACTGATACTGTTTAGAATATAGTTCTTCAAGGAGATCCGACCCTGATGAACTTCCTGGCAAACGATGATCGGGTGACCCCTGAACTTTTGAAAGGAGTGAGGGTGATTACTTCCTTTGGGGTTCCCAGCAACCCTAACGATCTTAAGAAATTAGCGGAGAAGGCACGATGTACCTTACTCCAAGGTAATATTTACTAATGAGGCATTACAACTATAATTACTTTTATGGATTTGTGATTAAGTAAGTATCCCCGTAAAGTTTTTTAATGCAGTTTAACTGCAGAGTTCATCACTAAATGGATTTCTATGTCTACTAAACCAAAAATATTTTTCAATACTATTTCTACTTACTCTCCAGCTTACGGAATGACGGAGGCCTCACCCCTGCTGACTCTCCCAAGCACCGACTCCACCGATAGACTCACCATCGGACAACCTCTTCCTGGTACGCTGGGCAAGGTTGTGGACCTGGAGTCCGGAGATGTTCTTCCATCTGGGGAGAGGGGAGAACTTTGCTTCAAGGGACCGCAGGTAACTAATAATTTAAAAGATATCCTAAGAAAATAAACTATAAATCAGAGGTGCCCATCTCCCTCATGATCGATGGCGCATAAATTTCTCCCTCCGTCCAACGTCCATCTTCTTAAAAAGATTACATTCGAAATTAGAATAAGAAAAATTGGAGATCATATACAATTACACTTGCTGTGGTCTGCTCCAAGTAAACTCTTGTCCTCTGGTTCAAAAATTTTAAATTCCTAAATTATAAATTTTAAGATTTCTAAATTTATACGACTGTTGAAATGTGCTACTTCAAAAATTCCAAACCCCGCTAAAATTTACCCCTTCAAAAGTTTTTATGGCGCAACTTGTCAATAGTGTTCCGTTTGATTTTATTGTTACTCTAACATTTCACTAATTTCTACTGATACGGATGTATCTTGGACTTTATACCGAAAATACAAAAAATCTATACTCATTTACTTCGTAGATATTATACTAGGTTTTTGCAAAAGTCCTTTTGCATAAGTATAGCTTTATTTCATATTGTATATTTTAAATACTATTGTATATTAATTTTTATTATATACCTAGATTGGTCTAGTTTTTTTACTCTTGGGTACATAAGAAAAAATAAACACAAACAAGAAATGTGGAAAGAAAATATGTTTTAATCCTAAGTATTTGAAGTGAAGTAAAAATGTACATTGAATTTTATACTAATTTATAATACAGATAGACAAATAATTGATTTGTTAATGGTTACAAATTTTTATGTAATATCATATATCTTTTCAGTTTATTATTTTCAATTGTAATTTTAATGTAATCGTACTAAAAGTTAACCCTTCCTCCCCCTCAAAATTTGGTGTTTTACGTTTCATGATACGTAGAACTCAAAAATCGAATACGAAAACTTTGTCTGTCGACAAAACTCGACATTACCATCCGCCGTTTTAAGATGCCGACCGAAAATGTTGCTATAGACCGTATGCCTAAACGAATGTACCGATTTCATTTAAACTTGCCAAAAGTCTTCTCCTCGATGTACTATAAATATATGTATAGGACATACTTCACCGAAAAATACTTCCTTTTCAAGATGGCGACCGAAAGATCTGTATTGCTATAGACTGTAGCGCCTGAACGAATGTACCGATTTCAATGAAACTAGCCTAAAGTATTCTCCTCGATGCCTTTTAAATATATGTATAGAACATAATTAACCGAAATTTACTTCCCTTTCAAGATGGCGGCCGAGATACCTGTTCCGTATAGAATGCAGCGCGTGAAAGGATGTACTGATATTAATGAAGCTTGGCTAAAGTCTTCTCCTCGATGTATTATAAATATATATATATATAGAACATACTTTAGCGAAATGTACTTCCTTTTCAAGATGGCGGCCGAAAAACCTGTGTTGCAATAGATTGTAGCGCCTAAACGAATGTACAGATTTCATTTAAACTTGCCTAAAGTCTTCTCCTCGTTGCCTTTTAAATATATGTATAGAACATACCTCACCGAAAAGTACTTCCCTCTCAAGATGGCGGCCGAGATACCTGATTCGTATAGAATGCAGCGCGTGAAAGGATGTACTGATAATAATGAAGCTTGCCGAAAATCTTCTCCTAGATGCCTTTTGAATATATGTATAGAACAAACTTTACCGAAAGGACTTCCCTTTCAAGATGGCGGCCGAAAAACCTGTGTTTTCCTTAAAAAAAGTAACGAGGAGTGGTAAATTTTGAATTCCAAACAACCCATGAAGTATACACTTTTTCGTTTATGGTTTTAATGTTTTTTTTAAATTTACGTAATTTCTTAAAAAAAAGAAAAAAATATTGTTGAAATTGGATACTTTGCATAGATATGGCATTTTAAATATTTTTTATATATTCTATTGCAAAGCTAATATCGTTTGTTTTGGTTTTTGATATTTTGAAAGTGTTACTTCAACTGAAGTAAGTAGTATTTTCTATTTTTTCTAGGAAATTAAACATTACGAAAAAAAAACGTTATTTATGCCAATATTAGGAATCACCTTTTATTTATTTTCCTTTATGTAACAAGGAAAGTAATTTTAATTTTGATGTGTAATTGTTTGGAAATAATAAAGCATTGTGTAATAATTTGCATCTTTTTTTTTCTATTATAACCAATAAATTATAGAAATTAATTTAATTTCAAACGCTATTTGAAATTATGTTAATTCAAATCATTCACACATCAATTTTTAAAAAAGAAATTCAGATGTTGAGAATAATTTATATAATAATGTAAATCGCGTTGAATTATTTATTCTCTTCCAGCTCTAGAACCATTTTCCCCTTCATTCTGTATTCTGTGACTGCTTCAACTTCAGATGTTTTTGTTCTTTCTTCATCGACAGTGAATATTTAATTTTAATGGTAATGGAAGTTCTTCATATACTTAATTCAATGCTATAAATGGAAAATTATTTAAAACAAAGAGAAAAAGACAACGTTTAGTTAGAAAAGGAAATATAACCACATTCAGATATATTCTGTAAAGAACAATTTTTATAAATCGGAAGACAAGGAACTCCATGATTTAACAAAATATTTATTTTGTCGCAAGGACTTATTTGAAAAATACTTCGAAATATTTAATGACATTATTGTAATACATAGGTTTCTTGGTAGCAAGTAAAGGTATATTTCAAAGATAAACCTTATCAATAGTCACTGACCAAAACAAGAAAATCTGTTGAGAAACCGAGGAGAAAAAAGGACTGAACTGTTTTATCTTTGCCTATTTATAAAATTGTATTTGGACCGAAAATGAGTCAATGGGAGACTTCACACGGCTGCTCACCGCTGAATTGCGTGAACTTCATTTTTCTTTTTTTTTACTTCCTACCTTCCCATTACTGGCATACAGAGTTAATGTCCGAGAGGTGCAACCAAACCTATTTAATCAGATTGGGAAGGTTGAGATTCATTCCGTGGGTATCTTAGTATAATTGAATATTAAAGGTTTGAATGTAACTTACGAAAGTGTTATTCTAAATAAAATAAAACTTGTCTAGCACTCTAGAGCCGCTGCTTTCAATTATGGTGGCTGTTTTCAAGAATATTAGCCCAGTAACATGAGGATTGAAACAGGACATATTTTGCTTAAAATATGAGAAAAGTAATTATTTTTGTAACTTGTGTATATAAAATGGGTTCAAACATAAAAAACCAAAATATCTAACACGAAAAACCAAGTGAAAACGTTTCACAGCTAAAAAGCGATATTTTTCGACATTTTTTTGTTTTTCATCATGGTGCATCGAAGCGAAAAATATACTTTTAAAGAAGTTTATGAACGTTACATCATGTGTCGAACTATTTATTACATTTGGTTAATTGGTATGATAGAAAATCATGGTCACGGAATGCTTATTTTTACCAAATTTGTCAAAAACTGACACAAATTACTATAAATGACCCTGAAGCATGAAAATGAAATTCCTAAAAGTAAAAACTGATAGAATTAAAGTTGTAGAGCATCAATTTGGCATCAACTGAGTACTTATGTTTAATTGAGTACTAACACTTAAACAAATTATTAAGTTTATGTATTCATTTGAGGCACAATTAATTTCATAAAGAGCACACTTTTCGCTTTGATGTACCGTTTAGGAGTTACAGAAGAAAGTTATTCGACTGTTCTACATATCCTGGGTGATAAATATTCAGGACGCAGTCATTATAAGGATTTTATTAGTGCTGAAGTTTCAACCCAAACATGTGGGTCATCATCAAGGCGTGTTTCGAGCACTGAAGGTATTCAAGTAATCTACTTGATGTACTTGAAGTGCTCGAAACACTCCGTGATGATGAACTTTATAATGACTGCGCCCTGAATATTTATCACCCATTTTAGAAGTTATAGGCGAAAAAAGTGTTTTTTTTTTTTTGGGCTGTAAAATGTTTTCTCTTGGTTTTCGCAATATATTTCTGGTTTTGATTTTCAAGGTTCTGGCCTAATCAGCCGCCATTTTCGATCGCTGCGGCTCTGGAATGGAAGAAAAGGTTCATTTTACTTAGAATAACATACACTTTCGTCATAATATCTAACTCGAGATAATATTTTCTAGGTTATGGAGAGTTACCACAACAACCCAAAGGCAACAGAAAACGCCCTCGACAGTGAAGGTTGGCTGCGGACAGGGGACATTGGATATACCGACGAGGAAGGGAACTTCTTCATTTTGGGGAGGATGGATGAGGATCAAAGTCAAAGAGTATCGGATAAAGATAAAGTAGAATTTACCAGCAATAATATAAATACGATGCAAGATATGTATGAATCATTTTCAGGTATAGAAACAAAATAATGGGAAAAACATTTTTTTGGAACATGCCACAACAAGCAATGAAATATTAAATTTCCATTTTCCTAATGTACCAGTCGCGGATCCAGGGTATAATTTCGGGTGAGGGTGGTCAGCCTGAAAGCTTTTTTGATTATTGAAGCCCTAATTAAAGAAAGTAATTACTTACATAAAGACTTTTAGAAATAATTTTTGAACATTTTTTTCATAATACATGGTTATATCTAGTAACTTAATATGCATTATAATTAAGAAATAGGACATATCTTTAGCCATACCACAAAAGCCTGTAAATGCAAAATCATAAATTGTTTATAAATCGAAACGAATAGCGTACTTCTTATTTTATGAAATCGATTTTCCGTCCAATTTTTATTGCATGCTTAAGGTAAAGATGTATGGTTCTAATAACGTTTTGATGGCTAAGATTAATCGGTAAAGCTCAAAATGGCACATTCCAACTAAATTGTACTTACAGTCTTTTGCAGTGTAGCTATCGGTATAGTGATTGTTTTAAGCATACAGCTTAGATTAACTCATATTAACAAATACGGACCAATGAAAAAAATATATATACGAAAAAAGTTAAAATCATTTTTCAATTTTGGACAATTCAGCCCGAAAGTCTCCCCTCCCTCCGTAGTTCCGCCAGTGTTATGTAAAAAATAAGAAATTGTAAAATAACTGTACTGAGCTAGTTGGTAGACATTTTTTACTATCGTATTAACTCTTAAAAAGTAAATTCGAAGCGCCTTCTAAATCTTCATGACAATCTTTTTATAACCTCTAGACCGTTGATTATCATTTCCGTTATACGTTTATTTCTTATTCCTCATTTTATTCAGACAAAATGCCATACGAAACTGACATTTATAATTATATATTGAATTTAAAAATTATACAAACAAACTTTGTTTGACCAATGTCTGTTAAGTCCAAAAAACGTGATATTGGATGAAATTACAGTAGCGGATCCAGAATTCGAGTTTTGGAGGAGTTTTTTTTTTTTTAATTTTTATAACGGTAATTTTTAATAACACTGAAAGAAAAGGAAACAAACCATGTAAAATTATGTTTAAGTGAACCTTGAAGGCCTACAAAAGAACAAAGGAAAGAAAAAAGAAACAAATAACAGTCAAATGAGGCCAGTACAGCTTCCTCGCCATTTTTCCTGGTTCCACACTTATCTACGTCTCAAGATCAATAATTATTCCTTTGTGAATAAATTAAATTATCAATCCTTAACGTCTTTTGGAATTTGGTGCAAACTAAGTAAAATTTTTTTTGAGATAGAGATCTTACAAGGAAAATACATTTTTGCAAGTATAATATAAAGTAGAGGACGAAATTCAATAAAATCGGCACGGCGTCATTACTTTACCAAAACCCACCTTTCTTTTAACTTTAAGCCAAATCGAACCAGTCGTTTCTGAAATATTGGCATATCTAAGAAAATACATTTGCGCATGCACAAGAGGAAATACTTTATTAAATTCAATAAAATTATTTATTTTACCAAATCCACGTTTCTTTCGACTTTGAGTCAAATCGATCCATCCTTTTCTGAAATATTGGCATATCTAAGAAAATACATTAACGAGTGCGCAAGCGAAAGTACTATATTGAAGTCAATAAAATCAATATAGAACCATTACATTGTCAACACCCACGTTTCTTTTAACTTCGGACCAAATCGAACGAGTCGTTTCTGAAATATTTTCATATCTAAGAAAATAAATTTTTCCGTGTGCAAGCGGAAATATTGTATTAAGTTTAATAAAATTTATATGAGATTATCTAGGTCCTAACCAGCATAATACCTAAAAATTTAATGAAAATCGGATAAACGATAGCAGGTGATATGCCCGTCATGATTTGACTACAGATAAATAGATGCCTAATTAAATTTGATCCTTGATGTCTGAGACGTAAAACGCAAGTGAAAAGTTTCAATTCTGAGCAAACAATTTTTTTTAACCTCTCGCACGAATACAAAGCTTCCCTACCTTAGTTAGTGAGGAAGCAAAAGGAGGTAATTGCAGATTATTGCTAATTAGGAATAAAAATGATTTTAGGTTATATTTTTTCATATTCATGTTATAAGTTCCATTATGCAATTGATGTACAGCAATTACAAGGTAATCTTGATATTCCGAACACATAGACAGCGTAGCCTGTTCGGATTATCAAAGGTTATTTTTAAAATTATTGAAAAAATTAAAGTTAACGAAAATATATATATAATACGAGTTAAATACACATTACAAACAAAAACTAAAACATTATTTCTAAAAATGATCATAAAATGTACGTTGAGTCTCTAATTTCGTTGCTACAGAAAACACCTGATCTTGCAAATTTCTAAAAACCACGCTTCGGTAGTCCATTCATCCACTTTATGCAAGTATTAAATGCCTTTATGGCGTTTCTATGACTTGTCTATAATGAAAAATAAAATGGGTGTAAAAGAAATTTTTCAGTAATATAAAAAACGTATTCCAAACCTGCTTTTGATATTAAAGCCAACCTTACTGAAAAGAAATCTGCTTTGTCGTCAATTCCAGTTATATGTAATGAGAAACAGATTTCCATTCCGTCTGTCGTCAGTCAACTTTAACATTTTTTTCTTTCTTGTTCGGATTACCAAGATTACCGGATTAATACGAGTTCGGATTATCGACACCTTTATAATTTAAAAAGAGAAAATATTGTTAAATAAAATTATTTTTCTATTTTTGGAAGGCTTCAGCCCTAAAGTAAGTTCTTCTCCATGTAGATCCATTGTATATTAAAATACAATAATTACATCTTTGTAAAAACAGCTATGAAATAAAATTGCGTAAGACTTTAGACATTATGTAGTTTTTATAGTAAGCTCAAAAAAATCTCTAACAAAAGTACTTGCTGCGCAGGTATTTTTATTTTTCTAGCTCTAACCATCCTAAAATGGAAGTTATTATCGCTTTCTTCTCTCAGGCTGCCTAGCACCATTCTTAAGATAAAACTCTGCCTTTCTTCTTATTTTCTAAATTCTTATCTTTACAAAAAGTTTGCGGAATGCTCAAAAGCACTCAAAATTTAGATATGAAATATATTTAAAAAGAAGAAGAAAAGTAAATTTTATTCTGGGATATTTAATCCCATTTTTTTTTTTGTTCTTTCTTGGCTTTAGGACTTGTAAAACCAAGTAAAATATTTTAATTTTCATAGTAAGATGAAACTACACTGGATATTTATTAATTATTTATAGATAGATGATCACTGACTGTAACTAAATATTGAATGGAACTTAAACTAGAAATACTAATAGTTAAAAACTGAGGTGAATTAGAATTACAATTAAATTAGAATAAGAGGCGACTTTTATTATATAACTGCTTTTATGTCATTCAAAAACTTTATCAAGTCACGGGCGTTATCTTTATTCATCGACCGAAGAAAGTTAGCTCCATCATCCGTAGTTTGCGATCCTAAACTAATTCTTCTTCGCTTCTCGAATCTTTTGCACTTGAAGGCAATGTGTCTTGGATCCTCCAAGCATTGGCATGTTGGACAGTGACCGCTCTTAGCTATACCCATTAGATGTAGATATTTATTAGTTCTACCATGATTTATCCTAAGCCTGGTCAGCTTTACTAAGCTGGAGCGGTCGAGATGAGATTTAAGAGTCGCAAACCATGGAACCAGTGCTATCTTCTGTTGAACTGCATGATGGTCCTTACCCTTCGAGGCACATTCCCAGTCGTAGAAATGCTGCCAGTCTTTCATTCCCCCACACTATTCTTATCAAATCCAGTAAAGGAACCTTAGCATTTATTCGATGTAGTTGGTTTTGATTTGCTGTTTTGTCTGCCATTTTATTTCCATTTCATATTATATAATTATATTAATATTATATAAGATAGCGGCGGACTCTCGGGAGAATTCGAGGCCAAACTTAAACGCCAAATGAATTGTTCAATGCGTTTTGTTTTTGGAATCTCAAGAGATGCGCATATAACCCAGTATTACACCAAGTTGAAGTGGCTCTATCCACCCAACCGCCGTCTGTACTTCCTTGCTACCTTTCTATACCAAGCCATCAGAACTCAGCGACCTTACAAAATTTTTACAATCTACAATAAATATTCCATTCAATCCCGTCCCACTTGATCCCGTACTTCCGACCTCTGTCCACCTCCTCACCGAACTGCTGCCTTCTAGAATACCACCCCTCCCGATATCCTACATGTACAATCAGTTTCCTCATTTAAATCTCTCCTTTTTTAACATCTACTCCTTTCTCTTTGTTTTATATATATCTGCATATTCTTAGTGTTCTTTTCTTCTTCCAATACTTTAATTTTAATGAGATTTGTAAGCACTTAATTTAATGTATGGCCACACAGGCATTTTTTCTGTATTTATAATTTGTTCTAAAGGGACAACAGTCCCCCAGGATAGCAAACAAATATTCATAATGTTAATGAACAATAGAAGTAAGATTTGTCAAGCGTGAAATGACAGTAAAAAAATAATTAAATTACAGACTTATGTAAGCTAATGAAATTGTAGATAAATAAATATTATTATGTTTACATATTTTAATTATTAAGCGATATAAACATTAACTGTGACATATCTATGTAGTTCATTAACAATACGTAGTTATAAGTCTAAGGAAAATGTACTAAATATTATGAAATATTGTAAACCAAGTTAATAAATTTATTTTTATAATTTATTTTTTTTTTTACTTCATTTATTTTACAATGCAGAAAACATTAAAAAAATTATCTAAAATGAAAAAATTCGAAATATTGATATTTTGATATGTTTTAGCTTCAATGAATTAGAATATCGATATTAAAATTAGATTATTGAAAACCTATGTTTAAAAAAAAAACTTTAATAAAAAAACAAACAAAAATTTAAAATGTCTACAAGGAAAGCCGCCTTCACTGATGAGAAATGAGAGTACATATTTTTATTTGTCAGTAATTTATTTACTTATGAAGATATCG